ACCCTAAACCCCAACCCCGAAACCCCAAAAAACAGCCCCAAATCGCCTTTTTGGGCTGACGCGGGGCAGCCGATGACTCGCAAATCTCTTGTGGATCTACGAAGGTTTCAGCGCTTTTCGGCTCTGAGCCCAGGACTTGGTTTTGAGAACGCTGAAGTCAAGGGATCCCTTGAACTTAGACTTGGGTTTAGGGTTTAGGGTTTAGGGTTTAGGGTTTAGGGTTTAGGGTTTAGGGTTTAGGGTTTAGGGTTTAGGGTTTAGGGTTTAGGGGCTCTGATCCGGAAAGCTGCCGATGCAGAGCTTTACAGGGGAATTCTGCTGCTCAGACGGCTGGGGTGTTTGGGCCAACCCTAAACCCTAAACCCTAAACCGGGTTTGGGGAAAGGGCTTGCATGCATTGACGACCTTCCCTGGAAGGCCGCCGTGAAACATTTCTAGTAGAACCCCCTAGGGAACCCTTGTAAAAAGCCCTCATAGTGTCCTAGAACAACTCGTTGAAAAAGCTCGGAAAGCCCTGTGCCAAACAGTACCGTAAGGCACCTAAACTGGGTTCTTGTTAAGGAATTTAATTTAAGTTACCATAATAGGGATCTATAGTAAATAATATGGTTTCCCTATTATGGTAACTTGAATTAAATCCCTTAACAAGAACCCAGTAAATCACAGCGTCACCCCGCGCACAGAAGCGCCAAGCCGGTCTGCGCTTCGACGTGCGCCACGCGTGCGTAGAACTCCTCCAGGGCAGCCGCGTACCTGACTTCGAGAATGCAGGGTTTAGGGTTGAGGGTTTAGGGTTTAGGGTTTAGAGTTTAGGGTATAGGGCTTAGGTTTGAGGGTTTTCTTTGGGGGGGTAAACAATGAAACAGCAGCAGAAGCAGCAGCAACAGCAGCTAGCAGCTGTAGCAGTAGGTCATCATGGCAACAGAATTTCGTGCAATTATTTAGGCTTCTAGAATGAACCCTTGTTTGTAGTACCTCTTATAGCAACCCTTACTGTTGATGGACAAAATCCTGCATGACCCAAATATAGTATAGTACCATAAATCCCATAGTTTAGGTATATAGGGTCATGCAGGATTTTGTCCATCAACCGTAGTAGTTCCTTTTTGGGATTACCTTACAAGATGCTGAATATAAACCACAAAACCTCTTATAGCAACCCTTATGGACCCCAATTGAAAGGAATGGGGGGAGCTTCTTTGCTTGGCTGCAACTCCTGGTCGCGGAGGGTCAGCGCAGCGACTTTTCTCTTTGCATCCTCGCGGCTGTTGAGTACTACTTCTACTTTAAGGCGACTTGGGCTTCTTTAGGGTTTAGGGTTTAGGGTTTAGGGACTTGGGCTTCTAAATTTGGCAGGCTGTGTCGTAGGGTTTTACTTTTGCAGGTTGCCGAAGAGTGTTACTTGCAGGGGTTTTTGGTAGGGCGTGATCGGAGGAACTTGGCAGGCCGGCTATAGGTAGGGTAACCCGAGCTGCGTACTTTGAACTACCCCTGCACCTGGAAGTACTACAGGCATAAAGCTTTAGGGTTCCTGCACCACAAAAACCCGGTTTCAAGAAGACTTTCTAGGGCTTCGGCACAGGATCTTCGAATCCGGTTGAAGTCAACGTCAGGTCGTGCAACTAGAGTTTAGAACCAGTATCCTGATAAACAAAGGCCAGGCGCAAACAAACTGTCAAGTTGCGAAGTTCGGTGCGTCTCCAAATTGCGTGTGACGTAAAGACAAGGGTGAACCTACACTGGGACTGGGGATCCACAGAGGGAACCCCCTTTAGAGCACTGCCCAGCAAGTCCTCCGAGAGCACGCTGGAGCTGTGCGCTGGCACGCCATGGCGGAGCTGCACCCTCCTCGGTTGCGGGTTTAGGGTTTAGGGTTTAGGGTTTAGTGTTTAGGGTTTAGGGTTTAGGGTTTAGGGTTTAGGGTTTAGGGTTTAGGGGCAAACTAGCTATAGCTCCCGAATCGAGCTCCCCAATTCCTAAACCCTAAACCCTAAACCCTAATCCCTAAACCCTAATCCCTAAACCCTAAACCCAAAACCCTGAACTCCCGAAACCTCGGACACTAAACTCCTAAACCCATCACCCTGAAACCTTGAGGGTAAGGGTTTAGGGCTTGGGGGTCTAGGGGTCTAGGAGTTTAGGGGTTTAGGGGTTCAGGAGTCTAGGGGTCTAGGAGTTTGGGGGTTCAGGGGTCCAGGGGTCCAGGGGTCTAGGGGTCAGGGAGTTTAGGGGTTTAGGGCTTAAGGCTTGAACCCGGCGCGCCAAACAGTCAGGACTCTGGAAGGCGGATTGGTCGGCACAGTCGCAGTTCGTCATCTCCAGCTGGAGCTGATAAAGAAGCATGCACACCGAGGCGACGTAATGCTCGGAGATGCCAACAAAAAAGAGCGATCGCATATTTGCCTGAGTGGGTCTACTACGCGCCCACGGCATCCCAAGCAATTGCAGTCTTAATGACTCCCGTGGGTTTACACTACAAAGAATTATGGGCAGTTCTTCGAATTAGGGTCCCGAATTAGTTTACGGTCCTTTTCAAAAGGGTGCCGTACTAGTTTTTGAACCTACAAAGCAGACCCTAACACAGAGAACTACCCCAACATAGAAACCCTAAACCCTAAACCCTAAACCTAGAAGTAACTCCCACAGAGAACCTCAGTCGAAGCCACCTCTTCTGCTAAGCAGGGTCCGTCAGCGCCCGGAAACCAGGGAGATTTAAGGAGTTGGGCTTTGGGGAATACCGAAGCGCCGTTAGAATCGCATATAATAAAGATACTATGGTCCATAATCCACTGGAGTTGTATTCTAACGAACCTCCAAAAATACATAATCCATTGGAGTTGTATTCTCATGAACCTCCAAAAAATACATAATCCATTTTATTTGTATTCTCATGAACCTCCAACAATGATCCTAGGAACTCTCGAGAGAAGCGGTGAGATAAACAGCTTGCTGATCCCTTCCAGGAGGAGGCATAGCCAAACGAGTCCCAAAAAAGCAGCAAAACCTGCTCTCCTAAGTAGAGTTTTAAACCCTAAGACCCTAAACTTCAAACCCTGAACCGCAAAAGCTGCTCTACTAAGTAGAGTTTTAAACCATAAGACCCTAAACTCCAAACCCTGAACCCTAAAAACCTTAACCTTGCAAACCCCCAAAGCTGTACCGGTTCACTTCGACCCTAAACCCTGGACCCTAAAC